GGGGGGTGGGCCACCGCCGCAGCAGCGGCAGCAGCAGCAGCAGCAGCAGGAGCAGGAGCAGGAGCAGGAGCAGGAGCAGGAGCAGGAGCAGGAGCAGGAGCAGGAGCAGGAGCAAAAACAGGAGCAGGAGCCGGAACAGCAGCAGCAGCCGCCGGAGGGAAAGAAAAAGGGTGCGCAGCAGCAGCAGCAGCAGCAGCAGCAGCAGCAGCAGCAGCAGCAGCAGCGGCAGCAGCAGCGGCAGCAGCAGCAGCAGCAGAAGCAGGAGCAGGAGCAGGAGCCGAAGCACAGGCGGAAGCGGCGTGCAGAAAAGCAGCAGGCGCAGCAGCAGCGGGCTGAGCCTGTGGCGAAGACCAACTCCGCGTTTGCGGACCGCGACGCGCCCCCAGCCGCCAACGAGCCGGCCATCAAGCGGCAGAAGCAAGGGGCCCCGCCAGTGGGGGTGCGCGGCTCCGGCAGCGCCGCGGCGGCCCGGCGCGCTGCGGGAGCGGCTGGGCGGCGCTCGTCGCCGCGGCTGCACGGCGATTCGGCCAAGGCAGCGCCGTCGGTGCTCGAGCCGAGCGGTGGCGGTGGGCGCGGCGGGCAGCAGGAGCGGGCGGCGCCGGCGCCGAGGTGCGCGATGGGTCGGCTTGATCGTGTTTTGCCCGTCTGATTGAATCCTTTCATGTTCATGAAGTGTGACCTCCATCTGGTACAACCGTGTGGGATCCGTTCGGCTGCCTCAGCTCCGCCTTGTGGCGCAGACCTGCCTCTCAGCTTGAATGCCAGGCGTGCCGCTGGGCAGGCGCTTTGGCAGCACGCATCACACATCATTGGCCGCCCCTCGCGGAGAAGCGCGGCCACCTTGGTGTAGAGGGCGATCCTGCTCCTCCTGAATGCGGCCGCCCCGCACTGTGCACGCCCGTCCGGGTCGTGTGCCCTGTCGACTTCCCCAGGGCAACCCCCGTCGCGCGGCCAGGGGTGCGCGTCGGGCCGCACGCCCAGGCGACGCTGCCTGAGTGGCGCGCGAAGCCGCACCCGACCACATGCGCGCCGGCCGAGGCTGAGCGCCTCGCGGCGCGGCCGGCCTGCTCCCCGGCCCTGCCGCCCGCGGAGCCCACGCCGCGGGCGGCTGGCAGCGAGGACGGCTTGACAGCGGCCGTGCGGCCGAGCGGACGGCCTGGCTCAGCGGTCGGCGCGGCGAGCGCCTGGCCCTCGGACAACGAGGCTGCCAACCGCCGCCAGGCAGCCGGGCGTGCCCCCACCCAAAACGGCTACGCGTGGTGGTGCGCCGCGGCTGCGGGGCCGGGGCGCGACGCGGCGCGGCGGCGGGAGCTGCTGAGCGACGCGCTGGCGCAGATGGACCGGGAGATTGGGGCAGAGCTGGTGCAGGTGCGTGGCGATGACCAGGCAGGGCATTGCTGACCCGGCGGTCGCCTGGCGCTGCACTTTTGGGTACCCGCCGGCGTTAACAAACCCGGGGTGGCAACACCGGCGGCGCGCGTGCGAGCAGCAAGGGCACGGCTGCTGGGGCGGGGTGGACGCCGCAAACGCGCTCCTCATTCCCCAGATTTGATTAAAGACGCACCGGTTCGATTCCATCGCGGAAATCCAGCCCCACCCCCTGACAAGCCCTCTGCTTTCTTGGCTGCCTGCACCCCTGGCTCCTCGAAATCATCTCAGGCGCTTGGCCTCTTGCGCCTGGGGGCGCGGCTGCGCGAAGAGTGGTGCGCCGCTGACGAGGCGTTGTTTGCGCTGGGCATGCTGGCGTGCCTGCGGCCGACGCCGCGGGTGCAGCGGGAGTTCCTGCCGCACAGGAGCCTGCACCAGCTGCAGGTGTGGAAAAGTGATTTTTTAAGAGTGGTGCGTGTGTGTTTGTGCGCGTGCGCGCACTTGTGTGTGTGTGTGTGTGTGTGTGTGAGAGTGCGCACGCGTATGTGTATATGTGTGAGAGAGACCGATAGCATTTGTGCTCTCGTGTGTGTGTGTGTGGTGTGTGTGTGCACATGTGTGTACATGTGTGTGAACGCGAGCACGTGCAACGATGGGCTGTTCGGCAAAAGCATGCCCAGGTCATGCACTTCGGCGCTTGGACCTGCAGGACGCACAGGCTCCTGCACCCAGGCCGCCATGTGGGCCCAGTGGCTGACAAGACATCCCCACTCATGTTTCACGCAATCAGTCATATTACTATAACGTGTGGAAGCTGCGCGGCAGCCCCCTGGCTGACCTGTTTTTCAAGATGGAGCCTTTCCAGCGCAAGGCGGCGGTGGACAGGAGGGCGGAGCGCGAGCGCGCCAGGGTGTGCGCTGACGTATATGAGGAGCGCGTCAATAAGGTGGGGACGGGCGTGGGCGAGCGTGGGCACGTGTGTGCTTGTTGCGTAGAGGAAGGAGAGAGACAGACAGACAGACAGACAGACAGACAGAGAGAGAGAGTGTGTGTGTGTCGACCCGTGCATGCGTGTGTCGTCGTGCGTATGTGTGCGTGGGGCACCTGAGAGCAGGGTTGCGTCGGTGAAGCTGCAACGCAGCTGCCAGCCCTCGATACTTCCTGACTGTATGGTGTGGCGCTGCAGGTCCAGAACCGCTGACTTCGCATGCAGCTGCCGAGCAGCGCGTGGCTGCGCAGCTCGCGGCGGCTAGCTGACTCCACGAACCTCCGTTCTTGATTTCTGATTGGTAGTTGGTTCAAAAATGGAAAAAGACCGTCGGCCTGCATCGCTATTCTTGCGCTGCAGGTACTGCTGGCCGCCCAAATCGCGCGAGACCTTGACCTTGAGGCGACGGCCGCTGCTGCTGCTGCGGCGGCGGCTGCGGCAGCAGCGAGCGGTAGTAAGGAAGGCGACGGCGTCAGCGGCCCCAGCAATCTGAGTGAGTCGGCCAGCGGAGCCAAGAAGCTGCGCGGCGTGCCTGCCGGGGGTCTGGAGGCTGCGGCGGCCGTGCACGGGCGACTCGGCCTTCGGGCATGCTCGGCGGCTGACGGCGTGGGGACGGGCAGCGGCGTGCCGTCTGCGCGCAGCCGCCTGTTGGGTGCGGCAGGCGGGGACGCACAGCAGAAACAGCCTCAGCAGCAGGAGGAGAACGCGGAGGTGGAGGACAACAAGGAAAGGGAGGGGACCACGCCTCCCGTGTCGTTGGCGTCGACGCGGCACCTGACGGGTATCCCCTTGGAAGGCATCCTCGTTCGACCGGGGCCGGGGGCCGACCGCGCGCCGCGGACGCGCCTGCGGCCGAGCCACGGCGAGGGGCCGCTTGGAGAGCCGGCCGCGCCGCCGCTTCAAGGCGGAGGCCTGGCGTCGCGCGTCGGCGCCGCGAGCCGAGGAGGACGCCGGCAGCAGCGGGATGGGCGTGAGGGCCGCGCACGAGGGGCTTTCACAAGCGCGGCCGGGCGGCAGCCTGGAGCGCCGCCGCACGCGTGGGAGCTTAAGACGCAGCAGCGAGACGACCCAAAGCGGCAGCGGCTGGCGGGGCACCTGGATGTGGCGGCGCCTCGCGAAGATGCCAGCTCCGACTATTGGGATGACGGCGAGGCGGAGGGGCCGGCCGGCGCTGCCGCCGTGGAGGCGGTCGGTGCCCGCGCCTCAGGGGGCCGCCCGGCCGCGCTGCAGGGAGACCCGCCTTTAGGAAACGGCGGCCCCGCCGCCCCGCTGCCCGCGCCCCGCCCCAACAGCGCTGCCGCACCGGTGCGGCGCGCGGCGGGGCCGCCAGCGGTTGGCGGCGCCGGCAGCGCGGCCGCCGCTGCTGCTGGGCCGCCTGCAGTGTTTGCTCACGATGCGACCTCACTGCCATGGTCTGGCGCTGAACGCAGCGAGCCCAGGAGCCCGGGTCACCCGCGGGGGCCTGGAGAGGGAAGCGCAGTCGTCACGCGTGGCGAGCGGCAGGGGCATGGGATGCCGAGGGCGCAAAGGCAGGATACAGTGGACGCCCCGACGCTGACGCAGCAGCAGCAGCACCAGCAGCAGCAAGAAGAGATGCAGCGGTGGCTAGCAAAGGAGCAGCGGCGGGAGAAGCAGGAGCAGGAGCAGCAGCAGGACCAGCAGCAGGACCAGCAGCAGGAGCAGCAGCAGGACCAGCAGCAGGAGCAGGAGCAGGAGCAGCAGCAGCAGCAGCAGCAGCGTGACACGAGTGATGACGACGATGGCCCATCCACTGAAGGGCCCGGCATCTGCAGTGAGAGCCGCGGCCGCGTCCGACCCTGTGGCGTTGAGACTTCCCTCAATCAACGCGTCGTCGGCGCAGCAATGCAGGCTCGCGCGGGGTTGCAGCACTCTCAGGCGACCGGGGCTCGGGCAGGGCAAGGAGCGACGGCGGTGCGAGGGGACGCTGGCGAGGGGCCCGCAGTTGCCGCTTCAATTGCCGGGGCGTCGGTGCCAGGGCTTTGCGAAGAGCTTGGATCTTCTCATGTGGCTGTTCCACGCGAAAGCGCGCCGCACAGGGTGGTGGGTGCCGCCGGCACCGCGGCGGGGCAGGAATTGGGGGCGGCGGCCACGGGCCGGGGGTGGTAGCGAACGAGGGTGCGGCGGAGGCGGGACCGCAGCAGGTGTGTGCAGGCAATATGCCCCACCAGTGCGCTGGCGCCCTTGACGGCCGAAGCGGAGCACCAGCTGCACCGGCCGCCGCGCTCGCCGGTGCCGCTGCTGGCCAGGGCCGGCGTTGGGGGAAAGCGCGCGTCCGCCGCCCGGATGGCTGGCCCGCCGCAAAATTAAGCAGACTGCGGCGGCTTGGGGACTGCTGTGGGGCACTTTTATCTTGACCGTTATGAACGGCCGCCGCTGCAGTCTCCCACCTTTCTTAGATCTCGGGGACCTGCCTGCCCCATTCCTTCCTTTTTGAGCGGCCCCCTTGGCGCCACCGGGCGCAGCGGGTTGCCAGACGACCCCGCCGCGCTTGTGGCCCCGCGCCCACCCGGGGGGTGCGCCGGCCGGCAAGCCTTGCTGCAAGATTTTGTGATGCTGCACGATCCTGCGCGCTCACGATCAGCAGGTCACACTCTGAAGGAGCTTTGAGCTGCTTCAGACTGCGGCGGCGATTGCTGGCAATCCTGCCGTTGCCGTCCTTTCCTGCGTGCCTCCAATCCCTGCACCCTCATCCAAGCACAGCGCAAAGCCGACAGATGTGGTGGCTGCGACTGAGAGGATTGTAATCAGCTCTGAGAGCAAAACGCGAGCCCGCACCAGCAACCGCTTCATCCTGCCTTCGACATCCTCGACACGCACGTGTGGCGCCCGCACCCCGCCCCTTGCCCCACGCCCTGTTACACCTGCCGTCACACCTGGAATCACATGGCATCTCACCCAAACCCCGTTCGTGTAATCCAACAACCCTTTTCGGCAGAGAGCGAACAATACGTTACACTGTCAAATATTTCAGGATCTAACGCCTGATGTTGCCGGGGTGCGCCACAGCACGGCGCGTGCGGCGAAGGAGAGCGTTTCGGATGCATTTCGGAAGGAGCGGGGGTGAGTGAGTGGATCGCTGCACAGCAGTGAGGGCCACCAGCGGCGGTGGTTCGAAGTGAGGAGGCGCCCAGGCGCGCGCGGCGCGACGCGCAGGGGCCACCCGGCAGCGGTTAGGCAGAGGTACGCGCAAAGCGCGACCAATCGTGTTCTGCCGGCCCCTGTCATGCTGCGG